AAAAAAAAAATTATAGAAAAATAAACTTAGAAATAGCCAGCTCTGTACCGCCATCTGTCGGCGATTTTTATAATCATATTGTTGTTACGCCATGTTGAAATTTTATAGCATTTATTCACTTATTCTACATCTAACATTAAATTAGGAATATTTTCATTATTTCGAAATTAAAAAAAAAATAGTTAATTAGAAATTAAAATAAATCCTCATTTGTCATCAAAACCAAACTGATTATAAGTCAGTAGGCAGGACACGAAAGTTTTGTACGCCCTATATTCCATATACAAATATTAGGCCTATTTCTATCATTTATAAGTGATGTACCAGATTATAGGAAGAGCCAGAAAGGTAGCTACACATTTGAACTTGTAGTATGCTGACACTGTTTTACAGTATGAGAAGTCTCCTTTCCAAGAAGTCATGTGCTTGAGTTACGTTAACAGTGCCTACGTCAAATTAATCCGAAATTAATTACAATTAACGATTGTAACAAACTGCCAAAAATTCTGTACAACTTTGTACATCGAGATTTTGTACTTTTTATAATCTTGAAGATCTAGAGACCTCGTACAATAAAATTTTGAATGCAGTAAAATGTGTTTTTGCAAAATAATGTACTTATTACTAGTACCGTCATGAATGTGTCAAGACAGGAATTGTACGAAATGTTGAAAACCGATGATTCATTTAAGCCTGAAAAGGCACTTTTGGACTATCTTAAAAGGTAATTCAGCCTTCATCATTGCTCTGAAGTAATATTAAAAGAACTTAACTGGGTTATTCGTGTATTTACATTTGGATTTAATCTAAGATGGAGAAAGTGCCATCGTAATAAGGTAGTTTAAAAAAATATAATGATTAGATATATACTACACTATCTATAAATAATCTCAATGCACCTTTTATAAGTACTAAGAAGGCTGAAAGAAGAATAGGACGACCAGAAAAAGATTTTCCATCAAGTGGATTGAAATCAAAAGCGAGGAAGGTTAAATCATTGCTCACAAAAAGCAGACTATTTGAGTTAACTCATGCCACCACTCTCAAATTAAGGCAATCTGGTAAAAAGGATGCTGCTGATATGCTGGAGGAATTAGTGACAAGTCCTAAAAGAGCAACAAAAATAAAAATTGCCTATCAATAAGCAGAAGAAACGTTTTAATATTTACCAGATGAAGCCTTGCGTTTGATAACTTCAGCCAAAACTATTGAGACAACCTTGGTGGAGTTTAACGATCAGATACTTGAAGTGATCACAGCATTGAATTTTGTCCCGCTGGATTCGCGAAATCTTACACTGTGAGGAGGTTCCATAAATTGTATAGGATTTGCAAGTAATGGATAGAACTGCGGTATCTGTATCCAAAAATTACTCGTTGAATGCCTTTAGCATTCAAATAGCCATTTAGTTTCTTGCAAGTGAAGTTCTCTTGAACTAACTGCTTTATTGTTTGCAGATTCATCCACCTACACATCGATCTACACTTGCAACAGTGCCTTGACTTTCCAGCTTTTTAATTGATGACAACAACGAGCACTTTCTAATCCTTTATTGCTCACACTTTTCTGACTAAATGACTATTATATCGTTTAATTTTAAAACGATACGCGAAAAAACAAATTTTAGGACTAAAAATAGTTCCTTGTATCCTGTCAGATTCTTGAGTGACAAACAGGATCCTAGTTCAACAAGGTACCCGCATTTTCTTTACTGCATATTGATAATTTTCCTGCAAGTAACAGGAATTAAGTTTATTTTTACTTATAAATTATCAAACTTATGAAAATAAGAAGAAATTTATATAATAGATTTATAATTTATTATATTTTATGAAAATTCTGGATTTCTTCAGACCCTGTTAATTAATTTATATCCTCGTCATTTTCTATCGGTAGTTCTGAAGCTTTTTATATTGCATTGTTAGTTCTTCAGTTTCTCAAATGCTTCTCGAAAATCGTTGCAAATGTTCCAATATAAATAAATGAATACATTTATTCTTATAAAATAGCCAAGTGGCTAAAACTATTGAACACTGGCAGTTAGTCGAGGGTTTGCGCCTCACTAACGGGCTAGCCACGTGGAGTTTACCGGGTTTTTTTCACATGTCTAACATCTAAATAGGAACTAATTTGCCATAGTAAAGTCCTCTTGAGAGGCACCCACTCGGCAGATTGCCCACGTGTTAGTTGCCTTATCCCATCAATCCTACAAACCTATAATTTTTCTCTTGTAAAACTGACAATAATTAAAATTCAATTCTAAGAGCTCTATGACGGCTTTTCTTTTCCGCTAGACTTATTACACCATCAATTAGAAACAGGACAATCATTAGAAAAGAAAATCTTTAATTTATTTAGAAAATTTTTCTAATTGATGGTGTAATAAGTCTAGCGTAAAAGAAAAGCCGTCATAGAGCTCGTAAAGTTGAATACAAGACTAAACAAGAAGCGTATTACAGAAATAATTAAAATATTCATATATACCGGGTGATTTTAAGGTACCCCCATATTCGACGATATTTAGAGAGATACAGAGATTTAATTAGTGTTAATTTTTAGTTATGGGGTCACTTAAAAAATGTCACCAAAAGAACTGAGGTGAGTTTTTTTTCACAGGAATGCCTTCCTTACGTCCTGAAATGCCATTATTGGGTTACATTTGGACTGCAAAATATCTTTATAGACAGCATTGAATAGGGGTACTTTAACTATGATCACTCACTATACGTTTCATAATCATACCGGCATTATGCAAATATAATGTTCTTAACGTTCAACCAAAACTTTTCCACATTTAAGAGCCGAATTTAGACTTGTAATCCACACCACGCTACAAAATACAATAGACCCTTCCTACAACAATTAATAATGGGTAATATATTTGAGCTATTTTTGAGGATAGAACGAAGCTCTAAGCTATAGTTTACTTAGCGTAAGGACAAATCCATCTCTGTCCACATTAATTAAATGCAATATTATATTACAATATACGTACTATACGTTAATATTGTTTTATGAGCGTGGCCATCGAGAGCTTGTACGGAGTCCGGAAAATATAGCTGATTATTTTTTTGTGTTTGTGGGCCCTTTTAACTTTTTTCAACAAATGAAATACGTAGAATGTTTTTTTATTAATGAAAAGCAGTCTTGATTTTCTTCTCTGTTAGTAAAAATTCCGTTAATTTTTTAAAGGCAGGAATCACTACGGGCTCCTAAATTTTCTTCGGGACCACGGAAAAAATTCTCAGTTCCCTCCTCTCAAAGACCCTGTTTATGAAGTACTTAATAAAATTTTTCGTATATTATGAAATTCTATTGAAATATTCATTTCAGAAAAATTTCGTATTTATTTTTTCTTAATCCTAACTCTTTTCGTTCCATGGCACTAAGAAGGCCTCTTTTAGCAAGCCCATTATGGGTTCGGCCAGGCCCACAATGGGGCGGCAGGGAGGTGAGGGAGGGTGCCCAACAAATCCGAGACCGACCACCCATGAAATCTCATCATTTTCCGTAGTGTGAATTGCTGAGGCGGTTACTGATTGGTCCGTACTAGGGTTTCTGAAACGGGATTCCGGGATCCCGGTTGTTTTTTTAACCCGGGAAATATCCCGGGAAATTTTTCTTATCCCGGGAAATCCCGCAAATTTCTTAAAAATTCACTTTTTTTCTTATTTTGTGTTAAGGTTGAGGAGTTTTGCAAATAGAAAGCATAATTAACTCATTCACTGCCAGAATACATTTGTATTTATTAATTTTAAACCTACCTATTAGTTTTTTTAAATTTTTGCTCGTTATAGCATGTCACAAATGGTCAATAATCAATATATAGCTTATTTGTGGCAGGACTATAAAAATTCTTTACTTGTCGGAACCTGTAATATCTGGAATAATTGTGCTTACGCTGTCTTGAGTTTTAACCATGCCCAGTAGCTTCAATAAATGCCTGACGCCAGATTGTGCAAATTGGGCAAGGATACAAACGAGTACAAAGTCTGCAAGTATGAAGTTTTTCTTCATAAACCTGATTATTAAAGCCAAATGAATTGCCGAATTATCGAGCTCTAAGCTTGATGCCGCTATTAAAGCAGCCAAGGTAGACAAATCAAGAATACTAGAGAGCGAAAGAAGTACTACAATCTCGAAAACGAACTCGAAAGCTTCCAGGCTACAGGTGAAAAAACACATAATATCTGTCTTCTCTTAAATGCATTAAACACTATTCCAATCACATCAATTGAATCGGAAAGGGCATTCTCGGTGGCAAGACTTTTCATTACTAAAATAAGAATTAGAGTGAGTTATCGGAGTATTGACCATCTTTGCTTTTTAAAATCTTATAAAAGTTTGCAATATTTTGTATTATATTTTATTTAAAAAACGAAAATTACCTTCTAAATTAGAAGTTCATTTTTTTAATTTTTAACTCAATTCAAAACATTTTTTTTGTTGTTGTTGTATGCAGTTTCCAGCAAACTTTAATTAATTTTTTTCTATTTGTGAAAATTTCTACGTTATTTAAAGGTAATTTTTATTATAGGCCTATAGACCTAACACAGCATTATTAATATGATTTTGGAGGTTACAAAACTTTAAAATTACTTTAAAAAATGGAAAATAATTATATCATTTGATTTCAAGATATTTTGTATACCTTAAAAATAATTAATTCTATCCCGGGATTTCCCGGGATCCCGGGAAACAGTTCACTTTTATCCCGGGATCCCGGGACAAGCAAAATACCGGGAAATGAGAAACTCTAGTCCGTACCGCCTCAGCAATTCGGCCGTGATGATTGTACAGTTATAAAAGGATCTAGATGCCCTCATAAAGAATTCAAAAGAAAAAACAATTTGAATTTTTTAAAAATCGTAATTATTTCGCTATTATGTTTTAAAATCTAGATATTAGGCTTTCAAAACAAACAAAATAATTTTAAAAATATTTCCGAGGGGGAAAAAAATTATACAAATAATGTTATTTACGTCATGTCAACTTAAAAAAGCAGAGGGCGCGACTGTAGCATTTGATGGCGATTTTTAACTTTGGAAGTTTACTGTCAAGAAAAATACAAATAAGTTAAAATTTTTTTATTTTGTTCGGTTTATCGAATAAATTATCAGAATATCGAAGTTTCTAATCGATTATTTAAGTAATTACAGCTAAATACTCGTAGAATAGGAAACCGAAAACAGCATGCATTCAAATGGTAATTGATTAATAATTAGTGTCACGTGTAATGTTTTCGTCATTAATAAAAATGTAGTAAAATTCTGATTTTTGACAAATTCTAGTGCCGGTATTCACGAGAATTTGTTGTTGGGAGAAATTTACATACTTTTCAGAAACATAAAAGTGATGAACAAACACTGCAGAGTATACAGCATTCCCATCAGGGATAATAGGTTCAATACATGCAGCCCCAACAGGGCTCTTAGAAACTGCAATGAAGCCCCTATGTACTATAAGTATAGTGGGGCTACATTGAAATTAAGGACTTGAATGAGTTTGTCGTCAAAAAGAAATTACATTGATGCAAACATCTAAATAAAGATACTTGTTGCTTGGTTGGGAGTGTTGAAACTGGATATTTCCTTATAAGGAGTTCACTTAATATGACAATAATTATGCAGAGTTAGGGATTGAAATCCTAAAAGTTATATTTGCCCCAGAAAAGTCGAGTATGTAAATGCAAAAGACGTGGAATGCCATTGGCTTGTGATTTTGCACTGTTCCAAGACTTGTTTTTCCCATTGCTTTAAAAAGGTGTGTCCACTTGGCATCAGTTACTTTTTATCTGTTTTATTTTTATTTTACTTTGTTTTATATGTTGTGGGTCTGTATTACTTTATATTATATTCTAGATTTGTCACCATCACTCATTTAAAATGTTTGTACTTACATATAAACATGTAATGTTGTTTAAATTTGGATTCTTTCCATTTCTGGTTACGTTCTGTTTGGACATACCAAGTATTCTGTTCTGAATTGTTATATTCATTTATTCTAAAATACTGATAAAAAAAAAAGGTTTTGTTTGTGGATGTTTATTACTCAATACAGTGTTAATATTTAGATGATGTTTATTTATTCTAAAGGCTGTACTTAAAGATGACTTAAAATACGGTTGAAAATATTATTTTTATTAAGTTGAATACTGCAGGAAATTAATGGTTATGTTGTTTATTATTGGGTGATTGTAATGCAACTATTGGTTGCAACTATTGAAATAAATTTGTATCATTGTTTTCATACTTTGATTGAATCACATATTGTAATTATCATAAAGAATATCTTCACAAAATATTATATTATTAGACTTTCAGTTTGACTGTTATAATTTTGTAGCTACTTTGATTGTTATGGTTTATTTTTATATATCATGAAACGATATGCAATTAGTAATGATTGATTTACATCAATTTATTTTCACCTGTGAGTTTTTGCTATGATGGTACAATATATAGATTGCAAGCTTATATTTTTTACTTTTTCCTTATTTTAAGTAATATTTTCTTTATAATTTAATAAGATTCTTACAGTAAAACTTTTTAGGGTACTAAAAGGAGCTTTTTTCATGTCCATTTTGGAGATGGTTGTTAAGGGATGGTCTTGATGTGTCTGGGATAGAACACACATGAAAAATTCCTAGAGTTTCTTGCCATCAAAGCAACAAGTTGACACTTTTACTGTTTCACTAATCTGTCCCAGCTGAACATATTAGAATGCGAGTTTTATTGACTTTCTTAAGTGTAAATTAAATTTAAAAAGTTTATTTTCACTTTTTCCATACCATAGTTGTTTAAACCCATTTTGTTCTGTGGGCACTACTAAGAGGACTTATTTTTTATATCAGTGTGGCCAGACCCACAATGGGATGGCCAGGTGGTGAGGGACGGAGTCAGACATTCACCAGATTTGTTCTTGTGTTTGCAGAGCAATAAGCTGACATCTTAACCATTCAACCATACATACCATTGGATTTTAAGAGCCAATATTTTAAAATTTGATAAATGATTCAATATCAGTTGTCTTATTTACTGCAATATTGCTTTCATCTAAGGTGGGACAAACACTACATGCTTTTGTTGCCTGACCATAGTTTGATGGCAGATGGGTTTGTTGCCTAACAATGTTTGTGGAGAGAGTGAATACTAGGCAACATTTTACTCCAGCAACCAGTTGCTTGAAACAGCATTTCCAAACAAAAATTGCTGCCTTCACCAACAGATGTACTGCTGTTGCTTTTTTTATTCTCAGTCAAAGACGAAGAAAGCGATGAAAGGAATAAGATGACAGGTCACTGCATGCTACTCACAAATTGATGCTAGTATCATTCGAGATGTTTGCTGATGGGTTGTTTGTGGTAACAAGTTGTTGTGTTATCCAAACTTTCATAAAACCTATGTTTACCAACTTTCTTGTTAGGTAGCATGTCTTGTGATGTTAAAATTGACCAAGACCAAGTCAGGCAGCAAAATCATGTTAGCACTCACCCCCACTTAAGACAATTAAGTACTGTTTCTGAAATGACATTCAAGTATAATTAAAAAAAAAATCAGTGAATAAAGTGAATTAAATTCATGTTATATTTTAATATATTTTTACTGTTTGTAATCAACAGAATTTATGTTGTTACAGAGGCTGTCCAGACAACTAACGTTGATACCGAACTTGATTATAAGGTGAAAAAATGTAAGTACATTTAATAGTTAATAATATAAGAATACATTTGTATATTAGAATCAGATAATAATAATAATAAAATATGTATAGTAGGGGGTGTCCATAAGTGACATCCACACTGGATGTGATAGAGAGGGTTACGACAAGTTGGGCAAAGTCAAACAAGGGGGAGGGATTGAACTACAATGGATGTCTGTTTTATGTCATTAAATTTTATAGTTTATTATTTTATGAACAATAAAATGCATAAAGTTGAGGAGTTGAGTTTTTTTAGATGTCTGAAGAGTGGAGGGGTTACAGAAACTTGGACAAACTGGGACAGTGAGGAGAAGGGGAGTAAAAATTTCAAGAAAAATGAGAATGTAATTTATGGATAGACCCTAAAGCCCAAATTATCTGATATTCTGTGCCATCTGACAATGGGTATTATTATTTGAAGTTGTAGTAGTAATGTTAAAAATATAAATTGAAATATCAACATTATGCATAAAACTTCTGGTTAAGAAATTATCTTCACAAACATAAATGCTAATAATTCAGCAGAGACAGGAATATTCATTACTAGATCTATGGGTCTGGGTCTCAGAAAATATACTAAACAAATCACAAAAAGGCTAATTTTAATGTGGAATAATAATAAAAATGAAACAATATACTTTCACAGAATAATCTTTTTAGTTCTTTGTTTTTACGCTGTACATTTTAAAAAATACTTTTGATTAGATACTTATCTCATTTAGAACTGCCAACAAGCATCAGCAATGGGAGTTAATGCCTCTTCAACCAACTTTAATTCATGCAGAGACATGCTTATGTAAAACTGCAAGTTTACTGTTTACTGAAAATGAATTTTCAGCTATGAAAAGTGGATTGTTAAGATTGCTGCACATGAACTTAAACTTAGACAAAACAAAATAAAAAGTTTATGAATGAAACATCATTTGAAGTGGAGGTTGGAATTCTTATCATTTGGAAAACAGCAGCCAGATAGGGTACGGCATTATGTCAGTACAGTAATGAGTGATGGCAGTTGCCTTGCTGCCAATGAAGAAGAAGAGGAAGATTCTGTTTCTGAAATGACATTCAATGATATCATGAAATAGAATTTTACATAAATATTTGTCCAAAATGTTGTAAATAATTGGGTATTGATGTATTCAATTAATTATCTTCTCATTGTCATTCATTTTGAATGACAAAAAACAAAAATCACAATTGCAAACAAAGTTCCAACAAACAGAAATGGAACAAACATACAGAGCACATGTTTGAAATGAATGATGCATGTAGCATGTCCGTGAACAGTTTTGGAATCAGTCAAAGTATTCCCTCTTTGGTAAACCAATTCTTTCTGGTTTGATCTAAACTAGTGTTCAGGACTCTATTGAAATGTTTCTAATAAAAAATTCCAATTCATTGCATTCCAATTGTTCTATGAAATATAATGAACTTGTTCCATTGTATTTTATAAAAAAAAGTTCTTGAAAGTTCATAAATTTTTTTTAAATGATTGTAAAAAGTAACTTTTAGAGGATGATAATTTCAATTAACTTTTTTTGGATAACCAATTACACACTGTAGGGAAAGAATTAAAAGATAAATATCTTAGTATTTATAGTAAAAATATTAAGTTTAATTCTATTTTTACTTCAGTAAAACAACATATTAAGACATAGAAATTTAATACAAACAATAAAAAATAACAAAAAGAATTGTCTACTTTATTAAAAACAAGCACTAATGCTTTAAATGTTTCAATGAACATATGCACAGTGGAGCATTTGATGTCTTAGAAGCTTGTGACTTATTAACCATGCTTTTCTATTTGTACTAAAATAAATAAAATTTAATACTAATGTTGATAATGAGACAGCTCTTTAGTGGTCATACAGAAGATCGCCAATAATCGACACATAAAGACTTTAATTTCTGGAATTGGTACACACAGTGTATTGGTATATCAAATTTACAATGTATTGGTACACTGTAAATTTGATTTTTGTTAGTTGTTTTTTCAGGTAATTGTTGATCTACTTGATATGATTAAAAATGTGCTAAGCAATAGACAATAAGCATGGAAAAACCCCACTAAGAAATAATTAATAGAGTTGGATTAAAAATCTAACATAATTAAAAATTAGATAAAACTAACGAAGATCAGAATTTACTAATTAATCGCATTACAAATACTATTCGTATCTTGCTTGCTCGCCATGTCCAATCACCTGGAACAATCATTCTTCACTGCAGAGATGACCTTTCTTTGTAGGCTACAGCTCTGCACATATATGTAAAATACTCTAAAATGTCCACAGGTGACAATCCCAACACAACTAAAAATTTTAAAAAATTAATTAATTAATAATTAATCATCCATTGAAGGAATTAGTTAGATATTTAAAATTATAAGTATACAAGTGAATGTTCTGTATATTCATATCTAAATATTCATATAAACTTTATGAATATTTAAATATGAAATATTGTTGAATAAACATGAGATTCAAATCAAGTCATAAACTGGATACTAGTATTAGTTAATTAAATCTTTACTAATCATCACATAGTTTATCATAAATATTCTTGGCATTTTTAAAGACAGTCAGGTTCTTGTGCATTAATCTGTACAGAAACAATTTAAAATATCAACCTATTTTACAATAGTAGGTGAGGAATAGTGCGATAATAATAGTGGAGCAAGATGAGATTCACTAGTAAAATTGGTGAGATTGACAACAACATTTTAGAAAAGGACTGAAAGCACTTTGTATAAAAAGCTTTGCACTGGTTACTAACAGATTGATAATTTGAATGTGAAGAATTTTTAAGTAGATTTTTATCATTTATGTCTTGATAATACACAGCTTATTCAGTAATTTATACTATCAAAATACATAGCGTTTTGTTACTAACTGATTTTGATTTACTTAGATTTTGGATAATAGAAAATCTTTTATGAACTGAACAGTTGACAGTCTCAGACACTGATAGATTTGTTTGTGAACTGTTAACAACTTAACCATTCACTCAAATAATCATAAAATTTAAACTGTAATGTAAGAAATAAGTTTATTAAATATTATATTGATAAATATTGATTATTATTTTCATTTCAGCTTGTGAGAAGATATCAGAAAATCTTCATATTGTTGCTAATGAACCGTCACTTGCATGCTACAGATTACAGGAGCATATTCGTAAATCTCTACCTCAACTAGTAGAAAAAAGGGTATAATTTTTCTATATTAAGTAGTAATAATTTATTTATTTAAATAGATGTTATATATTTATATATTTCTTCATGCAATAGTTAGAAGTAAATGCTGTTCATCAGGAATTACAAGGAAAATGTTATGATCTGGAATATTCTGTGAGGTATGAGTTGGTACTATAATTTTATATTTTATTTGACTTAATTTATGCATAGAAGTGAGAATCAGCCTTTAATTTAACATTTTACATCTACCATTTGACAAGATAAATAAGTGTTTAAATATTGATTCAGGTTAACTACAAAATATAAAATTAAATACTATAAGCCAGATTTTTGGGTTAACCATTAGAATTTAGTCAGTCAAACTGTGTAATTTGTACTAAAGGTAAGCAGTTGTGCTAATATTAATTATAAATTAATGTAATAGACCGACAATCTATTTTGTAGATATTAGATAATTGGGTTTGATTATTGTTCATATTTAAATATAAAATTACATAATAAATGTAATTAAATTAGAAAAATATAATAACTTCATTTTGAGTAGTTAAAATTTATCAAAATAATTTTTGACTTGGAATTATGTAACAGCTTTTATTTTTACAAGTTTTGTATGTTAAATATTATACAAATATACAGTAGATTTAAATATATTGCCAAATGGTTTATATATATTTTGTGGGTTTGACTAGGCTCTGCAATAGAGATATATCCATTGTAGAGCCTGACCAAACTTGTCTTTAGTGTAAAAAATGCTCTCTTAGTTCTTAAAAGTTGGAAAGAGTTAGTTAAATTTAAATAGCTAAATAAACAGTAGCTAAAACTAAGCTAGCAACAGCAATATAGACAATCCAGGTAAATACACACTACATGTAATACTATCTGTAACCATTTAATAAGCAAGTCTGTTAGTGGAGGATTAACTGTCTTTTCATAATTCTGTCTGGATTAAAAGAAGTGCCAGACTATTAGAAAATCAGTAGTGAACCTGTATAATGGAAACCAAAATACTCAATTGCTTAAAACTAAATAGCAGAATTGGCAAGAACATTCCTGTTTGATTTTATAATTATATTCTTATGCATTCAATAGTAGTTATAGTTCATTTGTACTATACAAATTATCCCATAAAAACTGGTGGAACCAGATTGAAGAGTAAAGCTCAGAAAAAACATCTAAACAAAGGAATAAGGTAAACTTGAAAGTTGTAGCATAAGAATACTGGAAGCAGATTTGACAGTAACACTCAACATGTGAATAAAGTTCACATTACACAGATTATAACTATGGGGAGTTTTATATAAAGCAGTGTCATCATGATAATAAATCAGGAAAGCAAGCATTGTTGTAGATAAAGGCTTTGAGCTTTATTTTGTGCCTTAATGTTATTGCACCTACAATAATTTGGCTGAACATTAGAGCATCTTTGAGCAATATTAGTAAAGGATATAAACTTGTGAGCACTATGTTGGCCTTATCACAAGACTAGACAAGAAGCATATCGTGGTATTAGTGAAGGAACTTTAAGGCACAAAGTAAAGCTTGAATAAAAGAAAATGCAAAGTGGATGAAATACAATAAAAGCAGCAACTAACACTTGTAATCCAGTTAAAATGAATACAATTTATTAGAATTGTTACATTATGATTAATGCTTGTAGTCCTTTCTATAAATATTATAGAAAACATTTATGAGAACTTTACTTTTATTTAAGGACTTGTTATACCAAGGGGAAGTGCACACAAAAAACTAGGGAATGACAATCATTATTCAGATGTTTATTGTAACACAAATTCTCTATGCTAGTTATATAGCATAGAATATGAGAATTTGAGTATATTTGTTGCTCCATTAAATAATTTTGCTGAATTTGATAAATTTTAGAGTGGTAAACTTTACAATAAGTGGAAGTATAGAAGTGGATTAAGACAACATTTATTTATTCATTTATTTTTTCCTTTCTATTTAGTGCACTTAAATCCATTCAAGGAAGCCAACAACATTTTCTAAATATTCAAGAATTAATAAAAAATGCCATGTTTATGAAACAACAACTTAGCTATGAAGAATCGCTGAAAACCGATAAAAAGACCCAGCCGAGCATGTACCAGCGCTTTTCAGGTTCCTTTGATCTTCCATCTTCCTTTTTACCCTCCATGTCAGGACTTAGTACGTCGTTATCGGCCAGTGCCGACTTAAAATCGTCTCCACTCCCGCCTCGTGTGTCTGCTTCTCCAAACAGGAGAGCGAGAGCATCGTCCGTGTCGTCGTCGCACACTAGACCTTCAAGCACTCCGAAGCGAATTTTGCACGCATCGCATTCACAAGAAGGAAAATCTAGTAGCAGTACCCCTCATTAATTTTTATTTTGCCTGTCATGTTTCTATAAGAGATTTCAATTGTTTGATATACTGTGTACTGTACATATAAATATATAAAGTTTTCATATTTAAGAGAAAATTATTAAAAAAATTTATTAAAATGTAATAAATTATCTAAAATTGTGTTTACACTTTGATTTTAAAAAAAATTTTAAATAAATTATTTCAAGAATTTTATTGTTTAAAAAGTTTATAATAATTAAGAAGATAGAGTTTTATTTAATAAATCATTATCAAATAGCTTAGTTAATTCTTAGATTAAAATCTTAATTTTCTTTTTATACCTAAAGAATAACGATCATTTACAGTCGACCCTCCTATAATTACGGTCCCTATAATTACGATTCCTATAAAACTATGAAAAAATATACGTATTTTGGAAATGTTGAGTCGGATTAGTGTAGAATCGATTAATTTTATGGAAGAAAACCTTTCAATCAGCCGTAGTCCGTAAACTTGACACGTGTCGGGCTGCGATTGGAACGACTTGTAAGAAATCGGATTCCTAATAAATTGGAACGTATCTATATCTGATAGGGGGGGTCGACTGTACAGATCATGTTTATTTTTATAATGCTCAATTAATTAATTATTAATTTTAAGTAACTATTTATCTTTTTTAAAGGTAAAAAGAAATATATAGAATAATAGGAAAAACAATGTAGTTTCAACTAGAAAGTGTTAGAAGATATTTTCAGATAAGTTTAAATAATAGTTACTTAATGTAATTACCAAAGATTTTTGAAGTAATTACTAGTGTGACCCAAACTTGTCTATCAAGTTTAATGCATCATTAAAACATAATGGAAAATTATACAAACCAATTATCATTCAGTATTTGAGCCTGCTTATATTATGGCGTACTCAATATATTTGCTCTCGATTTCAATCTTGATCTTTCTTGGTCTTATTGCAACATCAGACTTTACATGTTGAAGAACTAATGATAATTTCTTACTCGATAGATGATTTGAGCTTCTCCAAAGTCTTCAGATTGGTTTGAAGACTGCGTTTGAAATATCTCCATGAAAAGTTGTCTTAGTAATTCACAATTGGAGAATATGCAGACCAGTTAATTCCTTTGCATAGTATTTTTTATGATGCAAAGATTGTTGAAATTGAAGGCAAATCATACTGAATACATTGTAAAATAAAAGTCTTCAAATGTTGATCTGAATGATATTTGAGTGATGATACAATAAAGCATTTGACTTGATTGATAGATTTTTGGGACATTCTATACAAATGAAATTTTTATTATACAAAGAATTTTTAATCCTCATATTGGATTAAAAACACTAATTATTTTGAAAATTTATACTAGAATAATAAACTTTGTAAGAGATTTTGATGGCTAAATACTTTGCTAACATTATAAATGAGCCAGTAAAGCTGTCATGAATACTTAATTATGTATAAATAATATAAATATTTAAAATATATATATATAGTGAATGTTTTGTCTAGAAAGATAATGAGAACACAGAAATGTTTAATTGTGTGTGTTGGCCATAATTTAATGCATTATCAACTGCTATTTTAGTTATATTTTGTGCTATTAGACTTTCTTTTAAATGTATACCCTAAATGCCAAAGAAAATTTTATAAATGAATGAGTCAATTGAGAAATAAAGTAAATTTTGCATCGTATAATTCTATTAATTTACTTTTTTCTACATTTATATCACCAGTGTGTAATTCTTGTTCGTTATTTAACAGAAACATTGAGAATGCCAAGTTCTGTTAATCTACATCTTTCATTATAAAAGAGAAAAAATAATCATGAACAAATTTTCATTAAATAACAGAAGAAAATGCAGATATCAAGATTCATTTAGTGCTGGAAAATTTAATTCTCTGGTGCACTTTTACAAACAACAACAAAATTATTATTAATAACAATCTAGAAATGAAAGCAGTACTCTGTTTGTACCCAGCTTTAGATTTGAATATTCTATTTAATGTCTTTACATACTGATTCATAACAACCATCACATAACATATTAGAATCTTGTTATATGTTGAATACAAAGTGATCATAATTAAAAAGTAGGTGTTTAGAAATTTTTGTAGAAAGAACAACTGCAAAAATCTTAATCAAATTTGGTTATCTAGAAAGTAGGTTAGTCAAATATCCAGTATATACAGTGGCTTTGCTAAGTCATTAATTTTTGAGAGTTGTATGATAAAAATAGCCAACTCGGTACCGAATTTTTCTTTAATAATTGCTTTGTTTAATCTATATTTAAAATAACAATAGGAAATTATTTAGAAATTTTAAAAAGAATATGGCTACATGTCTGCTTAAGCTAATGAGTTATTGAGTTTAAACTTTTAACATCAAGTTTTAAATTAATATGACATTTCAAATGTTTAAAAATTAATTAATTAAATATGCTTATTCACGTTGATACACATACACATTTGTCTGATGGACCTATTCATGGCTGTATCATGATTATTTCTTGACTTGAGATGGTGAAACTATAGCTTTTCTGACTGAAATCATTATATATAACTTTTGGAGGTGTGTCCTATCTGTATATTCCCTGATATAATGATGCTCCTGTATTTGTTTTAAAAGATACAGTGAAATTTAAAGATACTAAAATTAACAGTTTAAAAAAAAAAACAAATATCAATTGATTTATTAAACATAACTCAAATATTTTGGCTAAATGTGCTGCCCAATCAGTCTGTTGCATGCTCTCCATCTAAACAATCATCTAAACAATCCATCTATTAAATATACTACATATTGTTGATTCTATCAATAGTAAGAAGTATGGCAAAATAAGTGAAGTTAGTGTGGAAAGAATGATACAAGGCAGTGTGATATCTCACTAGATGTCAGTAGTATGGTGGTGTTACCAGCAAAACAATCCACTGGATGAAAATCCTATGTCAGTGGTGTGTAAGTAGATTGTGTTGTTGTCTATAGTATAAAAGTAGTTCATGCACATGAAAAGGTTGCGCAGCCCTGCTCTAGAATAGTGAGCAACCTGCTTGTGGCCCTCTATGACTTTTTCTATGGTCATGAGATTCTTAAACATATTTACACACAAATAATTTACAATAATTTAGTGTGTCTGGTGAAAAATCATAAGGCTGTAAATGATAAATTTGAAGATTAATTATCCATAGTATTCCTTTACAAATGTAAAATTTTTTACATAGGATTTACATAAAAATACTCTAGCCTTATTTTATTAAAGTAGTGCCACATGGTCTTTTACTACTGAAAAGCTGTTCTGCTATATATATAGATAAGGTATATTTTCTGCTAAAAATGCAGAAATATACCTGCTCTGAACATATTTTTTTTTTTTTTTTAGCATTGTAGCATTGATTGCAAATTCAATGACAACAGCACAAAAATTTTAAATTATGAATGTGATACATGAATGTGCTGTGGAAACCTAAGGTATATTCTTGTTAAAAAAATGAATGTAATAAAAGATAAGATTATGTTGTAATAAAGATGTATGCCGAGGAGGGGATTTTGTTCTTGAATTCCTAAATGAAAAATTTTTATAGTTGAAAATAAAGCTTGTTTTCGGCAAGTTTATCCACTGTTAATGAATCATGTCATATGAATAGCTATGTCATTACAAACAGCCAATGCTATGTCCTGTAATTGTAAAGAATATAGAGATCTAAGAATTATTGCAAGACATGACATAGTTTATTCTGAGCTAATACAATTTTAATTATATCCATGGACATTAAGTAGTCTTCTTGCGTTAGTTTTATTGCTGAAAAATTTGAATTTAAAAATGTATCTTATATACTTCATTTGTGATACTTCATATTGCATATATGTATTACAATAATATGAAGTCAAAATCACCTTCATGTCAATAATTTTCATTACAATTCATCACAATTTGATGTTGTTTTGTAGTAATACTGTATTAAATTAATTTGAATACACATAATCTAATGAAAATTTTTTCAGATTATGCATTTCGCCATTATATAAAACTAGTATCAGATTAATTTATTCTTTTAGTTGCAACAAGAACTTTTGACTTATTGCTATTTTGATTCCAGTTATCCATTAACACATATTTACCAGTCCTCAGCCATTGTGAAATTGTCCACTGCTTAGTCTAGAGCAAGTGTAAGATTAAATTTTTATTACTGTAATATGATAAAAATATACTTTTTATAGTTTTGTTTTGATAATTTAATGTTAATGAGATATTATTTATATGTATATTAACATAAAAATTTTTATTATATTAAAGAACAGATTTATTTGAAATGATCCAGGAAAACAAAAGTTCAATATTTATAAATATAGAATGAATTTTTGTAATAATATGCTTGTAAAATAAAAAGTAATATGAAAGAAGTTATAAATTATTTTTATAATAGATTTACTAAAGAAAATTAACTTCCATTTTGAATATTTGGTTAATATTAATGTTTAAAATATCTTTATTTGTCTGAATTTATAGATTTTTATGGATAGTTTTTATCTTAAATAACTCAAACATATATTTGATTAATATTTATTCCTTTCCTTGAATGTAGATATAGAATATATTTTTAAGATAATGTAGGCATATTTTATAAAAGTAACTGATGTAAAATTCTAAGTAAATATTGAAAAAATGCATATTTTTTTTTTTACTATATTGAATACATACTGACATTTATAAATTATAGTATAAAAAAACAATCTACTAGATTGTGTATTAAGAAATTCAATTTTTTTATAGTGCTATTATATATATTCAAGAAACTTATGATTGTTTTATACACAAACTAAGCAGAATAATTTTTTTTCAAAATTTACTGAGTCATGATTATGCATAAAGTTTTTAAAGTGACTTGTAACCCATTTAATTTTATTTAATTCCTTCTAATGTATTATGAAATTATTTCTGTAATACAGTATTCATGGTTAAAATTTGGATTTTTAAAAATTATACTTATTTTCATAAATGTATATAACATAACAATATGTTGTTATGTTATAAACAGAATTGAGCGATTTATTGAGTGCAATATTAATCGTAACAAAATTTTTTGAAAACAGTGAAGCACAGAAATATTTAAAACTGAACTAAATGAAATGACTGAGAAGTTGTCAAGG